TCTTGTCTAGATTACATCAGCAACCTACTGACTGGGTCATCTCCTCCAATGCTGTCTGCCAATAATACATTACCCATAGTCTTGCCAGAGTAATCATTCAAAGACATCCATTAAATCTTATGACTCTTCTTATATTGGTCAAAAATAGCCTTCAGGAAAAAAAATCTAAATCTTTTGTTTGTGATGCAAAGTCATTCATAATTTGGCTTCTATTTAACACTCCAACCTCATCTTATAACTGTCCTGGTACACACACAACCCCATTGGTATGCTCTGCTCATATTAAATATATTGCAGATCCTTGAGCAGTTCATGCTTTTCCATGCCTCCACGCCTTGGCATACAATGTTCCTTCTGTTTAGAACACATCACCTTCTCCCTACCTTTTACTGTCTTGCCTGCAATCAGTTACTCTCCAAGATGCAGCCGAAATATCACCACTAAGGTTTCACAGAGACCCCAAGACTATATTACTTGCTTTTATTTTATTTTCTGATAGTACTCCCTATGTATATGGCCCTTGAGCACTTTAAATATGGCTAGAGAGATTGAGGAACAGAATTTAAATTTTATTATTATTATTATTTTTTCTAATTTTATTTCTCCCACCAAAGCCCCAATAGATGGTTGTATGTCATAGCTGCACATCCTTCTAGTTGCTGTATGTGGGACACGGCCTCAGCATGGCCGGAGAAGCAGTGCGTTGGTGTGCGCCTGGGATCTGAACCCGGGCCGCCAGCAGCGGAGTGCGCGCTAAGCCACGGGCCGGCCCTAAATTTTATTTAATTCTCATTAATTTTAATTTAAATAGACACATCTGCATAGTGGTTACTCTATTGGACACCACAGAATTAGAAGAAAGTTTTAATTTCCTGCTTATGCTACTAACTTATATATATTACCATGGGTAAGTCATTTGACATTTCTTAGTACCACTTACTTCAATAATAAAGTGTACATGTTAATATTAATATTCTTCACAAGGTTTAGAGGAATCTCAAATTAGATAATATATGTAAAACATACTATTGATAGTAATACATTATAGTGTTAATTATGATGACTGAAAAGACTACAAAAACTGACTTTTAAAAAATATACTGTTCCGCTATTAAAGCCTCAATCTATACTTAGTTATCATTTTTCTTTATCTAATATTCAAGTAATGGACAAATTGGTCCACAACCTATTGATTTAATAATGGTTAATTAATATTTCCCTACGTAAAGTCATTGTACTGTGCTACCAGTACATAATTCAGTATTTCATACATCGTTGGAGATATACTGAATATAAAGGCAATATATAAACAGGAAATCCAATTCCTCTCATTAAAATTATTTTCCCCTCACTGAATAGCTCCATGTTTTCATGCTTTATTGGGTTTTCAATGAAACTAAATTTTAAAAATATGTAAATAAACTAGAATTTTCAAGTGACTTAGTTTTATTATTTGCATCATTTTATATGTTTTTCTGTCTTTTATGAGAAAAATCATATGATATTAACTATCAATGTGTTCTTCAATTTTCTTCAGCATAAAATATTCTATCAAAAATATTACATTGTGTTCGATAATTGTTGAGCATAATATATCTTTTAACAGAAATTTTTTTAAAAGTTTTTGTAGAACATTAAACTTGGTAACTTGGAAACATATTTTTAAATTTTAAATTTTAAAACCTTTCTACAGATAATGTCTGGACCACAATAAAGTAGACTACTTTTCACTCAATGTGAATTGTTACTGGAAAGTTGATAACAATATTAAAGTTTCAAAATTTTTATTTTCCTCTATTATCGATGAGCTTATGAAGTCACAATAATTTGAAAACCAAATGTACTTATAATTTAAAATTGCTTATTATTAACAGAAGGAACAACTTAGACAAATCTGTCAGACCGGATCATTGTCCATTCAGGTAAGAGATTGTGTTAGGTCACATTCCTTAGTTAAGTGAAAACTTCATGTGACAGTTCAAATTATACAGTTTTTAGTTTTACCTATATGCCACTTTTTAAAAATATTTAACACTGTACAATTATTATTATTATATTTGGTGAGGAAGATTAGCCCTGAGCTAACATCTGTTGCTAATCCTCCTCTCTTTGCTGAGGAAGATTGGCTCTGGGCTAACATCTGTGCCCGTTTTCCTCTACTTTTTATGTAGGATGCCTGCCACAGCATGGTTTGATAAGTGGTGCATAGGTCCACACCCGGGATCTGAACCTGTGAATGCCAGGCTGCCGAAGCAGAGTACACAAACTTAACCACTACACCACCAGGCCAGCCCTAGAATTATTTTTTATTTAGAATAATGTGTGTATAAGTTAAGGTTTTCTCCATTAAAGAAAGAAAGAAAATTCAGTTGGATATAAATATTTAGCTATAAAGTGTAGAATGATTATTACATTACTTTAAAATGTAATAAAAATTGAGATATTTAATCAATTTACTTAGATATATCAATTATGATTTGTAAAAATGAGATCAGTTGCAATTAGCATTTTTTCTAGCCATAATGGAGTAACTGGTACTAGAAAATAGGACAAAATATATGGAAAAAATCATTTTTAGAAGTTGGAAAATAGGCAAAATGGGCCTATTATTTCTAAGAGATAAAAAGTAATGAAGTAAGCCCTATGATAGTCTTGGTTTTCGACCTGACAGCACTCTCTAGACCATAAAGCCAAGAGGGGTATAATAGTGGTCTTTTTCTGGGAGTGGGTGGGGGGAGAATGGTGGGTGATGAGTAGAGGCAACTTTAATTTTCAGAGATGAGTACCAGAGAGGTAGAGAGGAAAGCTATGTAAGCAAAGAGCAAGCATATATATATATTTTAAGGGTACTTTTGAGTCTTTGCCTGAATGTGACACTGTACATAACTGGAGTGAGGTTGGACAATGACAGAAAAAGAACAACTATCAAGAAGCAATAAGCTAGAGTATAACCAGAGTTTATGTAGTCCTGTGAGCTGTTAGTCTCCACTAGCCAAAGTGAAGAGACATTGTTGAAAACCTAAGTATAGCTAAAGTAGTTGTAGAGTAATAACTATTCTTACTGTTTTCTAAAACATTTACAAAAAAGGGTTTGAATGATTTGTGTTGATGTACACAGTAAATTAACTGCATGCAAATACTTTTTAAAAGAAGAATGCATAGGTTCTCAAATACAACCAGAAGCACCTCAGAATCAAACCTTACCCAAATAAGAAAGATGTTTACTACCACAAATGCACTGGCAGAGGATCAACTCATCAAGCACCATGAAGAACTACAGCAACACAGTAGAAAAGAAAGAAAAGGACAACTCTCCGGAAACTGAACTTGAATCCAACTGACAGGGAATTCAAAATAGCTGTCATGAAGAAGTTCAATGATTTATAAGAAAACTCAGACAGACAGTTCAATGACCTCAAAAATAAAATTAATGAACATAAGGAGTACTTCACTAAAGAGATTGAAACTCTCAAAAAAAACAACCAAACAGAAATTCTGGAGATGAAAACCAGAATTAAGGATATAAAAAATAAAGTAGAAAGCATTGAAAATAGAGCAGACCATATGGAGGAGAGAATTCGCAAGTTCAAAGATAGAAAGCTAGAAATGATTCAGGTGGAAGAGGAGAGAGAACTAAGATCTGAAAAAAATGAAGAAATTTTACAAGAAATAGCTGACTCAATTAGGAAAAGCACCATAAGGATGATGGGTATCCCAGACGGAGAAGAGAGGAAGAAAGAAGCAGGGAGCTTACTCAAAGAAATAATAACTGAGAACTTCCCAAACCTGAGGAAGGAACTGGATATAAAGTACATGAAGCTAAGAGAACTTCTAATTATCTCAATGCAAAATGACCTTCTCTAAGGCATATTATATCAAAACTGTCAAAGTCAATGGCAAAGAAAGAATATTAATGGTAACCAGAGAGAAGAAAATAACTTACAAAGGAACCCTCATCAGGCTATCAGCAGATTTCTCAGAAGAAATTCTACAGGCTAGGAGAGAGTAGAATGATATATTCAAAATACTAAAAGATGAAAACTATCAGTCAAGAATACTCTATCCAGCTAAGATATCCTTCAGATATGAAGGAGAAATAAAGGCTTTCCCAGACAAACAAAAGCTGAGGGAGTTAATCAACACTACACCTGACTTACAAGAAATGTTGAAAGGAACCCTCTGGCATGAAACAAAAAGGCAAAGTTTACAAACCTTTGAGCAAGGTGATAAACAGACAGAATCAGAAAATTGCAACTCTATATCAGAATAAGTTATTAAACACTTAACTATAACATAAAGGCTAAAGGGAAAGAAAGCATCAAAAATAACTATAACCACTTCAATTTGGTCACAAAGTCACAATACAATAAAGGATAATTTGTGACAATAAAAACATAGAAGGGGAAGAGAAAAAGGATGGAACCTGCACAGGCTAATGAAGAGAAGAAGTTATCAGCAGAAAAAGGATTATTTCATCTATGAAACCTTTTATACAAACCTCACAACAAATTTGTTTTAATGGCAGAATAAAATTCAAAGCAGAGTCATAAATCATAAACAAAGAGAAATCTGAGAAAAACATCACAGAAAACTACCAAACTGAAATGGCAGACAGAAATACAAGGAGAAAGAAACAACAGAAATATAGAACAACCAGAAAATGAAAGACAAAATGGTGGTATTAAGCCCTCCTATATCAATAATCACTTCAAATGTAAATGGATTGAATTCACCAATCAAAAGAACAGAGTGGTTGGATGGATTAAAAAGCAAGACTCAACAATATGCTGCCTTCAGGAAACTCACTTCAGTTCTGAAGACAAACATAGGCTCAGAGTGAAGGGATGGAAGATGATACTCTAAGCAAATGGCAACAGAAAGAAAGTGGGTGAATCCATACTTATATCAGACAAAATAGACTTCAAGATAGAAGAGATAAGAAGAGACAAAGATGGACATCATATAATGATAAAAGGTACATTTCACCAAGATGACGTAACACTTATTAATACATATGCACCTAGCATAGGAGCACCAAAGTATATAAAGGAACTACTAACAGACCTAAAGGGAGAAATTGACAGCAACACAATAATAATAGAGGACTTTAATACTCCACTTACATCAATGGATAAGCCATCCAGAGAAAAGGTCAACAAGGATACTTGGGCCTTAAATGAAACACTAGACCAGATGGGATTACTAGATATATAGACAACATTCCATCCCCAAACAGCAGAATATACATTCTTCTCAAGTGCACATTGAACATTCTCAAAAATAGACCATACATTGGGAAACAAAATGAGCCTCAATAAATTTAAGAAGACTGAAATCATATCAAGCACTTTTCTGACTACAAGGGTATGAAACTAGAAATCAACTACAAGAAGAAAGCTAGAAAAGTCAAAAGTATGTGGAGACTAAACAACACACTACTGAACAACTGCTGAATCAATGAAGTAATCGAAGGAGATATCAAAATATACCAGGAGACAAATGAAAATGAAAACACAACAGACCAAAACTTATAGGATGCCGTAAAAGCAGCACTAAGAGGTAATTTTATAGCAACACTAGCCTGCCTCAAGAAACAAGAAAAATCTCAAATGAACACTCTAACACAAACCTAAAAGAGTTAGAAAAGAAGAACAAGCAAAGCTCACAGTCGGTAGAAGGAAGGAAATAATAAAAATCGGAGCAGAAATAAATGAAATAGAGACTAAAAAATTAATAGATAGGATCAATGAAACCAAGAGCTGGTTCTTTGAGAAGATAAACAAAATTGACAAACTCTTAGCTGGACTCACTAAGGAAAAAAGAGAGAAAGCTCAAAGAAATAAAATCAGAAACGAAGGAGGAGAAAACACTACAGACATCACGGAAAGACAAAAGATTATAAGAGAATACTATGAAAAGCTATACACCAACAAATTGGATAACCTAGAAGAAATGGATAAGTTCTTAGAATCAGACAACCTCCCAAAACTGAATCAAAAAGAAATAGAGAAGCTGAATAGATCAATCACAAGTAAAGAGATTGAAACTGTAATCAAAAACCTCCCCTAAAACAAAAGTCCAGGACTAGACAGCTTCTCTGATGAATTCTACCAAAGATTCAAAGATTTAATACCTATCCTTCTCAAATTCTTCCAAAAAATTGAAGACGACATGATGCTTCCTAACTCATTTTTTGAGGCCAACATTACCCTGAAACCAAAACCAGACAAGGACAACACAAAAAAGGAAAATTACAGGCCCATATCACTGATGAACAAAATGTAAAAATCTTGAACAAAATATTAGCAAATTGAAAACAACAATAGATTAAAAGGATCATACACCACAATCAAGTGGGATTTATTCCAGAGATGCAGGGATGGTTCAACATTCACAAATCAATTAAAGTGATATACTACATTAAAAAAACAAAGAATAAAAATTGCTTGATCATCTCAATAGATGCAGAGAAAGCATTTGACAGAATTCAACATCCATTTGTGATAAAAATTCTCAATAAAATGGGTATAGAAGGAAAGTCCATCAACATAATAAAGGCCATCTGTGACAAACCCACAGCCAACTTCATACTCAACAGTAAAAAACTAAAAGCTATTCCTGTAAGAACAGGAACAATACAAGGATCCCCACCTCATCACTCTTATTCAACATAGTACTGGAAGTCCTATCCAGAGCAATTAGGCAAGAGAAAGAAATAAAAGGCATCCAAATTGGAAACGAAGATGTAAAACTGTCACTATTTGTGGATGATATGATTCTATATATAGAAACCTCTAAAGAATCCATCAGAAAACTATTAGCAATAATCAACAACTACAAAAAAGTTGCAGGGTACAAAATGAACATAAAAAAATCAGTTGCATTTCTAGGTGCTGGCCCCGTGGTGTAGCAGTTAAGTGCCTGTGCTCCACTGATGGATGCCTGGGTTTGGATCCCAGGTGAGCACCAACGCTCTGCTTGTCAGGCTATGCTGTGGCGGCATCCCATATAAAGTGGAGGAAGATAGGCACAGATGTTAGCCCAGGGCCAGTCTTCCTCAGCAAAAAGAGGAGGATTGGCATGGATATTAGCTCAGGGCTGATCTTCCTCGCAAAAAAAAAAAAAAAATCAGTTGCATATCTATAAACTAACAATGAACTAGCAGAAAGAGAAGTCAAGAATACAATCCCATTTACAATCATAAGGACAACAACAAAATACCTTGGAATAAATTTAATCAAGGAAGTGAAAGACCTATACAATGAAAACTGTAAGACATTATTGAAAGAAATTGAAGAAGTTGTAAAGAAATGAGAAGATATTCTGTGCTCATGGATTGGAAGAATAAACATAGTTAAAATGTCCACATTACCTAAAGTAATCTACAGGTTCGGTGCAATCCCAATCAGAATCCCAATGACATTTTTCATGAAAATAGAACAAAGAATCCTAAAATTTATATAGAACAACAAAAGACCCTGAATAGCCAAAGAAGTCCTGAGAAAAAAGAACAAAGCTAGAGGTATCACTCTCCCTGATTTCAAAATATAGTACAAAGCTATAGTAATCAAAACAGCTTGATACTGGCAGAAAAACAGACATACAGATCAATAGAACAGAATACAGAGCCCAAAAATAAAACCACACATCTAGGGCCAGTTAATTTTGTAAAACCTTTTGACAAAGGTGCCAAGAACATAAAATGGAGAAAAGAAAGTCTCTTCAATAAGTGGTGTTGGGAAAACTGGACAGCCACATGCAAAAGAATCAAAGTAGAACATTATCTTATATCATACACAAAAATTAACTCAAAATAGATTAAAGAAATGGGGGTTAATTTCCAAAATATATAAAGAACTCATACGTCTCAATGACAAAAAAATTAATAAACTGATCATAAAATGGGGAAAGGATATGAACAGACATTTTTCCAAAGAAGGTATACAGATGTCCAACAGGCAATTGAAAAGATGTTCAACATCACTAATTATTAGGGTAATGCAAATCAAAACTACAATGAGATATCACCTCATGCCTGTCAGAATGGCTACTATTAAAAAGACAGGAAATAAGTGTTGGAGAGGATGTGAGGAAAGGGAACCCTCATACACTACTGGTAGGAATGCAAATTGTGCAGCCACCATAGAAAACAGTATCGAGAGTTCTCAAAGTATTAAAAATAGAAATACTGTATGATCCAGCTATACCATTTCTGGGTATTTATTTATCCAAAGAACACGAAAACACCAGTTCAAAAAGATATATGCACCCTATGTTCATTGCAGTATTATTCACAATAGCCAAGAATTGGAAGCAACATACGTGCCTATCAAGGGATGAATGGATAAAGAAGATGTGGTGTATATTATACAGTGGAATACTACTACTCATATAAAAAGATGAAATCATGCCATTTGCGACAATATGGATGGACCTTGAGGATATTATGCTAAGTGAAATAAGTCAGACAGAGAAAGACAAATACTGTATGATTTCACTCATATGTGGAAGATAAAAAAGAAACAAACACATGGATACAGAGAACAGATTGGTGGGTACCAGAGGGTAAGCGGGTGGGGGGTGAAAGGGGTACAGGGGCACATATGTGTGGTGACAAATGCAAACTAGACTTTTGGTGGTGAATGCACAGTCTATACAGAAGCTGAAATATAATGATGTACATTTGAAAGTTACATAATGTTCTAAACCAATGTGACCTGAATAAAATTGAAAAAATAAATAAACAAATAACAATTAAAAAAAGGTAGATTGTATAAACATCTGCATGCATTCACACACGCACACACATGGGCACACGCACCAAAATATCCAGTATACAATAAAAATTAGTAGATATTTAATGAAGCACAAAGGGTATAATACACAACTACGAGAAAGACCAAGCACTAGAAACAGAACCAAAAAGTAAGAGATGCTAGAATTCTCAAAGACTTTAAAACATATATTATAAATGTGTTCAAAAATGTAAAGGAAAGCATGAGCACTATGAGTACAGAATTGGAAGATATTAAAAATAAAATCATGGAATTTCCAGATCTCAAAAAGCAATCGCTGAAACAAAAATTTTAAAAAATCCTGGATAGGTTTAACATCAAATTGGATAATACAACAGAAAAGATCCTGTAATTGAAAAAAGGGCAATAGAATATTTCCAAATTGGAGTATCAATGGGGAAAAAAAAGGCTGAAAAAGCAAAACTAAAGGAAGAATAAGTAGCTTGGGGAAATTACTTAGAGTTTAAAATCTTTGTAATTGGACTCTTCTAAGTAGAGGAGAAGGGGCAGAAAAAATATTTGAATAAATGATTTTCAAAAAATTTCCAGACTTAATGAAGAAAATCAACGCATAGATAAAATGATCTCAGTGAACAATAAGCAAGATAGGGACAGAGTAATATACACGAGTACACACTGAAATAAAATTATAGAAAACCATGCATGTAAAGGTCTTAAACACAGCTGGAAAAATAAATGATACCACTACATATAGGAAAACAAAGAAGAGAATAACCAATAAAACTTACTAAAAAGTATGCAAATAGGAACATAATGAAATGATAATTTAAAAGTGCTTAAAGAGAAAAATACTGTCAAAATAGAATTACATAGTCAATATATTCTTATATTAATTATCTATTGCTGATATTATGAGTATATAACAAGAAATGCTAAGATACTCAAGTGAGGAAGCTACTGAAATTGGCAAGATAATTTGTTTAAATTGGCTGAAATTTGAAAGCTTCTTGCTACTTCAGCAAAAGAAACAATAATATAAAAAACAATGGGATAAATTCACGTATACATCAGCCATTTGAATGATCTCTTCTGCAGACTGTTTGTTCACGTTTTTACCATTATTTACTAGGTTGTATGTTTACTTCTTATTGATTTTTGTGGCACTCTTTGTTATATACTGGACATAATGGATATATGAACTGAGAATAGCTTTGCCTGTACTGTGTATTGCCTTTCATTCTCTTAAAGGGATATTTGATAAACGCAAGATCTCTGTTCAATTCTTTTTGTCCATTTGTTTATTATTGGACCAATATCACATTGTCTTTTT